GACGTCTGCCGCAATTAACTTTCCAATTCTTTTATTTAAGAATATACTTGATAAAATATTTAATGAAATATCAGAGTTTCGTTAGGATTTAGAACTTATCACAAGATACGAAATATGAAAAATGCAGAAGAGGTAAGATAAATGTATCAATGTCGGGATACTTAAGACCTATGTCTGAACACCTTTATCATTTTAGTTTTTATATAAGTATAAATAACGCGAATTAAAATCAAAGATAAAAATATAATACAAGAAAAATATGTTAACATTATAACTTATTTAACTAAAATGATAAAAATGTCCAGACATAGGTACGTGTTCAGGAATTGGTACATTTACCTTAAGTGGCGAGATATTAGATTTTCTTACAATTTATAAAAGAAGTAAAACATTGAAAAATCGTATAAAAACAGAATTATTACGAATAAATATTCTTGTCGCGACGAATCCGCAGTATCAGTAGCGGCGAGGGAAACGCGCGTTGGCGTATCTTCCGCAGCCACAGAACTGTCTCTCAGGCTGAGTAATAACTTCCGCGATGTTAAATTCGATAGCAGCTGCATTGCTGCATGCTTTGCGCATTTAAAACAATCGCGTGCAATTACGAACCTTTTTACTGCGACGTGTCGATATCGAGAAAAAATTTTGCCATGAGAAAACCTCGTATCGCGACAGGGTACAGACCGGTAAGCTCAATCACGGATTTATACTATATTAGAATTAATGACGTTTATGGTAGTTTTACTGATGAAATAAATGCATGTGTATAACCCGCTAGCCAAAAATATTTCACCATTATACTGTCTAGACATAAACGTTGAAAACCAAAGAGAAATAATGGTCGATATTTCAATTTTTCATACACAAATGAGATATGAGCTGGTGAGTTTTCACAGGAAAAAATCATTAAAAATCTCATATTGCCAGAAAAAAAAATATATAGCACATGAAGTCTACATAGAGAATAATATAGAATAATATAAATATAATATAATAGATATATAATATGTAAATATATAATATAATGGAGAATAATATAAAGAATATATCGCTCAATTGCTGCAATGACGACATAATTGAAAAAACAAAATTTTCCAGAAAAGAGTTCGAATGTTTTGAATCATTGAAATTTTGTAATATTATTTTTAAATATGATTTTGATGTAATAACCGATTGTGGAGAAATAAAATTATTAGCCCTTGAATCAGTGTATTAAATTCTCACCGTTCTTTTGCAAATAATTCAAAAATGACAATTTTTTAATTATACCGTTGTTGTAACAAATGAGCGACATAATACCTGTACATAAGAAGAGGGAGAATATATATGGAATTATTTAAAATTATTGTACTAATTTTTGAGTATGTATAAATATAGTAATCTCACCATAGTACGTAATACTTGGTACAGTGTGAGAGTCCTTTAAAAAAGAAATTACAAATCGGCTCTACGTATAGAACGTATGTAGATAGCGACAGGATGCCTGGGCATACACGGCATCAGGCCGCTTTGTCATGCGTAGAGATATAACTGATGTCGAAACAGTTTGATGGACGAGATCGCGTAAAGTTCAAAATACAAAAAACTCGGGACGAAGCACCTGTCAAATCGCATTATCGGACACTGTCGACACGTGCATTGGCGCCATATGCCTCGCATGATCACGCGGTTACGCGAAATATCGATGCGCGACGTCGTGTATTGTTTATTCTTCCTTTCCCTCGTTTTTACGTGCTTTTTCCCCGCGCGATCCAGCGATGATAAGCGGCACTCGGTCAAACGATCGTACGAGTAATTAATGACAAACGCCTCGCGCGCCAGCGGTTTTCCGTTGGAAAAGCTTGGAGACATTCAATTAGGCAACTCGCCAATCGCAAACCGAGCGGGAGCGAGTCAAACGTACGAGTGCCAAGCGATCGATCAAAATTTTCTTGCGATAAACGTCCCCTTACTCGTTCGTAATCGGGAGAGCTACGACTCTGCTGCAATATGCAAATTATACGAAGGCCACACGCAAGAAAGATATTTATCAATATTTTACTTTTTCTTGCATTTCCACACACATACTACAGTATAACAAACAAATTAATCAAGTTTGTGCATTGCGTCTGTTATTTTATCAATATTTAAGTTCTCTTAAAAAAACCTTTTTTGGCATTAAATATAATTATAAGTCTCTGGAAATAGGTGATATCAATGATGAATATTTACGCGTACGCGTAAAAATCATTGTTCAATGATACTAACTTTTTTAAAAAGTAATTTTGGAATCAATTATGTTCCTTATCAATTATCATTTTAAATAACTATTTCAGACTCATGATAAATTATGTACCTCGAAAATTAATAAAAATAAGTTAAGATACACGCGGATTTTTCAATTTAACAATTGATAATATTCAATTAATATCGCGAATCAAGAAGCGGACGTTTCATCTAATTGGCCAAAGAATTGACGGACGAAAGAAATTCGATGCCGACAAGTCGTCCCGATAAACGGTTCAAATCGATGCCGCTTGAGGGCAACGTTACCAAATAAAGGGTTAAATGGATCACGACATCGTATTTTCTCGTGGCGGCGGAACCTGAAAAAGCGCTTGCGATATACTGTTACCACACCGGCGCGGCGCGCGGCGCGGTAGAAAGGGAGAAAAAAAAACGCACTCTACTGCCTCAGATATTGAATGGGGAACGAGTGCCGTCCCTCTTACGCCGGCCGGCTCCAGAGTAAGGTCATTGCACACTCGTAAACAAACAGGACGCGGAGCGGCGTCTATAGCGAATACCCGTGCGCGTCACTGAACGTACATACACGCCGATCTAATGCGGCCTTGGGCTTCCCGAGCCGAGCGAGATTTTGATGTCTGCCTTTTAAATTCCGGGAATACATCGTGCGCGCACCTCACGATCGATCATCCGACGAACTCTGCAAATTCCCAACGAGATGTTAACGTGTACCACGTCGAACTTTACGGCAAATTCCTCGGTTCTAATTTGAAGTATATACCTATTCTCTCCTCAACCAGAATATCAGGGACATCGGTGCTGTCGATGTTAAAAGCGAGCGTAAAAAATTCTTGGCTTCAAAAATAGAGAGAAATAAAAACTATGTTGCTCAAAAGGAAATTTTAAGCTTGCTTTACCTCGAGAAATTTTAATTTGACAATTAATTATTATCATAAAGATATCATTAGGAAGACATAAATCGTGACTCAATATTTGACGTTTTGAATTAAATCGATTCCAAGAAAGTTCGTCATTTTTAATGCGATTGACGTATTATATGTACGACGGTTTATGATACGTGCATCTCAAGCGTTAAATTCGTTAAATAAATCTCTAAATAAATGCACACTTAAACTAAAAAGTCAAAGAACTTGAAAGAATAAATAGTTAGATGTTAAAAGAAAATCTTCTCCATAACGGATTTTAAAAAATTAGAAACATTAAAACGGTGAATCGTGCGACGATAAGATAGTTATAAATTATTATTCGTACTAGCTATAATTACATAAATGGAAGAACCATTAGTTACCATTCGGTATCCGATTTCGAACTCGATACACTAATAAATAAGTCCATAGTAAACTGGCCGCTGATATATTCTGTGAGCGTATCATAAGTCCGTAAACGTACACAGCACAATCGGGTCTTTAAACCCGATTGACATACATTTAAAGCGCTTCTCAGTCCATAATACATTCCCTTTAACGATTACACGTTGAATCGAAAGATTAAATGACGCGACTGCGAAATCCGATATACTATGAGCATTTACGAAAGTTAATTTAAAAAAAAATGACGTAACTCGAAGTTGGGAGCGCAGGTCGCTTTAAATTTCTCACGCAAATGAGAGATAATTCCACATCCATTACGTATTCATAATGATTTTCACAAAAATCTAGGACCGCTATGTTGAGAATAACAATCGCGATTGATATATGAAACATACTTATATCATATCACTCGACCTATTTTATCATGATCCCGATAGACACGATGTAACGCGAGATTTATCGCGCCGTTAAAGTCTTTGCACCGGAAGAGCCCGGCGATCGTTCTTGCGCGTTATCGCAATTTCTCGTTCGCAGGTTTTCGCATCTTGACAAATGTCACGCTCGCGCGAAGGACGGCGAAGGATCGCGCGGGAGGAACGGGGGTCAATGTACCACCGTTTCCATCGCGATGTCGGCAAATCTTACGGGCCGGCGCGTTCGCGCGGTGCGACAATTTCCGTTTTTCCGCGTACGCGAACGCTTCTCTGAAACGCGCGCGGCGGGCAGCAGGCAAGCACATTCGACATCGGCCGCGACGAGAAGGTCAAAGGTCACTAACCACGATTCGTAAACGAAGCTAAACGGCGCGGCGGCGGCGCCGCGGCGGTCGGCTTGCTCGAAACGCGCTCGGTAGGGAATGAATGAATGAACGGGAGGAAGGGAGGGAGACAGTATATACCTACCGAACCCTCCTCTGCTTTTGTCCCCTTAAAGAGGTAATAAATAGAAACATTCGACAAACTGTCAAACAGCGAAAGCCGGTTTGGGGAACGCCGCCGGTATTCTATACCGCATTAGTACAATTTTTGTCAGCACGTGGCACCGTATTGTTACACGGCACCCTAATTCGGCGCTAGATTATCCCGTCTCGGCTCGTATCGACTTCCTTAACGTTGCGCGTGCAAGAAAAGTTCTAAATTATCTCGTAAATTATCTCCTTCATCTCTCCGAGGAGAAAAACTCGAAAAGGTCGAAATTGTCGCTCGAGAGTTAATTAGAAACATCGTTTGCGATAACAAAGGAGAAATATGACACGCCGTTTTACGTATATTTAACGCGTACAAAATTATTATCTTATCTATACAGGTTTACGTCTCGCGATATCTTTTAACAGTCTTTAAAAGACCCCGACGAAAATCGATAGGGGGGATAAGGCAGCGCGCGGCAACCTGCCGTTCGATCGATTCGCGATAACGGGTTGAATGAGCCGCGGTGTGTCCATACCTGTTGCCAGTGATCCTCGAGCGACGGCTGGGCCGAGAAGTATCCGGTGTCGTGTATGTCCTGCAGCTCTCGAAATATATTGCCGCTCGGTAGGAGCGTATCCATGGCTACGCGCGGCTGCGAAAGTCCTCTCCGCTTCGGCCTCCTTCTTCAAGCAGCAGGTGCCCCACACACACGGAAACGCAGCGGCGGCGGCGGCGGTGGCGGCGAGCCCGCGTAAGCGTAATCTCAAACTGAACCGAACCGAGAACTGACCCGAGAACGAGAACGATGTATACTGACCGGACACAACTCGCGTCACTCGCGCGACGAGATACTACGAACTCGATTCACTGAACGCGTCCCGGGCGCACGCACGCACGTAAACGTAGTAGCGAGTAGCGGCGAGCGCACGTGCGTATCATCGGGGAAGAGGCGAGAGCCCTCCCCACCACCGTATATAGAGGACGCGAGAGAATGCCGGCGGCGAGCGACGAAGCGACGAGCGGAGTAGCGGAGACAGACCCCGACGGAGCGCGCGTCGCCGCGAGGATCCTGGGACGGTTATGGAATCGCGTGAAATTCTCCGCCGCCACACTTCCCGATAACGGCTCCCGATACCCGCCGGTGTCCGCGGACGCGCGCACTTCTCTCTCTCTTTCTCTCTTTCTCTCTTTCTCTCTTTCTCTCTCTCTCCTCTCTCCTCTCTTTCACCCTTTCCTCTTCTCTGTACCTGTCGCGCGACGACCGAGGAAGAACTGTACCCGCCGCGTCGTCCCTGCCGCTTGTTATCGTAGCCGGATGCCGCTAACTGCCGCGCGGCGAGAAAACGCGAAAACGACCGAGGGGGAGGGGGAGGGGAAAAAATCTCACTGCGAACAAGGCATCACTCGTGCGGCTCGACGCTCTGTCTGCTGGCGTCGCGTGCACGTCTCACCTGCGACAGTATTCATCACACGCGGGGAGGGAACGCGGAGGGGGGAAGACACGCGGAGCAAACGTCAAAATGCCGGCCTGAAGTCGTCCGTGGCTGACTGCCGGGTTTCCCGGGGGCCTCCCTCTCTCGCTCCTCGCTCTTACTCTCTTGCTTCTTACTTCACTTTAGACATCCATCCGCGTCCGCGCGCGCGGTATCTCGCTGCGCGTTTAACTCCCGACGACGAAAACTCGCGCATTCACTATTAAAACGGCGAAAACACACACGCGCCGGGCCGTCCCTCTCTATATATCTCCCGGCTCCCGGCTGCCGTTCCGCGTATCGTACTCGTCGCGTAGCCGGCTTTTATCTGTCGCGCGCGCGCCGAGATCTCTCGACGCCGGTACTCGCGTACTCCGCCAACTTCTCACCGTACACCCGGATGAGATCTCCGCGATACTGCGCGTATCACGATTCTCGCCCGCGCGCGTCACCGAGGGGGGGTCGGAGGAAACGCAGGGGGTGGGGTAAAACACCTTTGAACGAGATACTCGACACTCCGTGATAGGGACCCGGCGAATATCCCCGACCGCTAAAACACGCACAGACTCTTCCGCGCGAGTGTCGAAGAGTAACTGACGTTCCTCACCGTAACTGCCTGCGCGAGGAGGCCCGAGCCCGGCCGAACGTTGCCGAGCGCGCGCGAGCCGCCGGCGAGTCGTACCACTGTAAACGGCCGTGCGCGACGCCGCGGCAGCACTGATCGGTGACGTCGCGACGCCGCGGCCGGGTGGTACGTGCGTGTGCGTTTGTGTGTGCGCGAGCAAATGAGGCACCGACGCGAACGAAAAAAAAGGCAAATTCGTTTGAAAGGAATTTACATCGACGACTATTTGCTGCGCTACGTCGTACGTTCACCGTCTTCACCGACACCTCCGCGTCAGGTTGGTACTCCTACCAGACAAAATCGGAGTAAAGATGTATATCGAAATTAAGTGCTGTTTAGGGGTTAATTCAGTGCTCTGTTTCATCTGTTTCTGACCTTAGTGCTCGAGCTGTTAACGGACATTTTCGTTTGAAAGAAGGGGGTGCTAAATTCGTACCGAGAGCCAACATCCCTGATTTAAAATACGTACGAAAGTAAAAAAGTAGATACCACGAAATCCATCGACGTTCTCAACTTTCGACGGTGTCGACGAGGAAGGGAACGGATCTGAATAGAAGTAAGGTACGTACGTATGCGAAAATGATTTATTTGTTTCAAACTATACCTTAGGTATGCATACAAATGCGATTTATAAACATGTTTATTTCAATCTGCCGATCAAAATATATGCATTTCCGAAAATAAACGAGCGCTCGCAGACAATTAATTTTCGTCATTACATAAATGAAATAATCAATGTCACATAAATTTCCAAAGGCTCTTCTTTTACATTGTGCGCATTTTCACACATACGCGTGAAAATGTACATCAATTTCCAATACACATTTTAAAATAATTTAATTCTTCATATGCAGGAAATAGAAATATTTCACAATGTTACGATAATAGTATAATTCTGGAAATTTTATCGCGGAATTTTTTTTATTTCGCGGGATATAACCTGAGAGTATTTACGTAACTAAAAAATGCGCAAAATAAATTCTTTACTGGTTTTGATGGTTTCTTTACATTACAATTATTCTCTCAGCAGCGAGGAAAATTTTCCATAATTTGCGCTTTAATTGCACAATTCTGCAAATGATTGTATGAATCGGACATCATTTCAATCGCAGCATTGTAGCTATTATCTTCGCAAGCCGATTCATTCGAATTACGCATATAGGCAATATGCGCTTCGGATTTCCCATTCAAGCGACAGTACAGTAAAGGTCGCCTATAACTTATGCATCTATCTTACTTTCACAACATGGCCAATGTGGATCGACCATTCAGGTTTCTAGTTGCAATTTTGCGCGCGAAAGGTTTGCAGCTGTTTCATTTATTGAAGACAAATCTGATAAAAAAAAAGTATTAAAACCGGATAAAAAAAGCTATCAAAAAAATGCTTTGCGGTATAAATACGTGAACTTATTTTTTAATACTTTGATATCTATATTATTGTTTTTTCGTAACCAATTAATGCGTTATTGAATTAATAGCGTAATTTCACGATAACTTCAGATGCAGTTATAAGAAATAAATGAGAACAAACACGAGTGTGTTTGACATTTGTTCTATGTATCTGGCACATGCTTTATCTTTTGCAGCTCTTTCTTATTACGTGATACACATCTTTAATGCAACGCGTATATGAAAAAGAAGCTTAAAATTATATTTCACAAGCAGTAATCTCGCGAGCTTGTCTTTAAGCCGACCTAACCGAAAGTCGAAGGTTTACGTTTGCATAAACGTTTAGATTTAACAGAGAGAAACGGGCTGCTCGTTCAGCGAATCGACTACGAGAAATGCACAAGCACGGAGCACACGAACGCGAATTATTTGCAAATGAATAATCGCTCGTGAGTCAACCGAGAGAACCGAGAAAGAGGGAGAGAGGGAGAGAGAGAGAGAAACGAACGCCTTGTGTCGCCGTAAATGATTCATAGATTCTGCGTGTTCGTTAAAGCCTTTCTGTAGACGCTGGTGCAGCACGCGGGAATGCCAGATTAGATACGTAAGCAGCGTTTATGGCGAATGGAATTAGAAGACTAACCGCGCTTATCGGGCGCTCGTACCTCGTTTCCGTTCGAGCTATCGCCGTTCAACTATCGCCGCGTCGGAGACTGGCCGCGTGACTCAAAAAGTATTTTTTTTAATCGGTGATTGTGTGTGCATTCGAATCGCTCTGTTTGCGCGCTGATGTTTCTCCCGCGCGCTGCACAAAGCGCGCATTGTATAGGCGCCGTTATATCGGAGCGTATAGTATATCGAAAGAGTTTCGGTCGTATTGAACAATGGCTTGGAATCGATATAGCGCCGACTCGATCAATAATACTGCCGATATTCTTGGAAATTGCATTTTTTTCGAGCTTTTAAACGATAGTTCCTCTGAAACTAACTCGATCGCGGAAGATATACACACATTCGAGGTAAGTTACCGTGTTATACTTTTATCACTGGTTCGTTTTTGTAATTAGAGAGCGCATTTTATACATCCCAAATAACTCGGAGGAGACAAAGTTCCTTCTCGGAACATTTACCTTGAAAGTTATTTTGCGTCCGCGAGTACTGCAGATATTATCTGCTTTACGAAATTGCGAGCGGAATGTATAGCACTGCGTCGGAACCTGACCTCGCGCAACCTCTCAACTTCGGCATCGTTTTCCGGATATATTCCTTCGCTCAGTGGGTTAAGACGCCCGGTACCATAAACATGGCGGTCGCAGTTGGACCCAAGCCCAGCTCTCGAAAAGCTTTCTTGTAGCGGGAATATACAGTAGCATGTCGATTTTCGCCGCGGAACGAGTCGACAGGATGTTTGTTAGACACAAAATGACTCTCTCTCTCTCTCTTTCTTTCTCTCTCTCACGCGCGGCGCATGTCCCGATAAAACGATCGACCGGGGTATCCGAGGCCATTAACATATTAATTCAATTATTCAGTTTAGAACGATATATTACGCTGATCGATGTTTGTAAACCGTATTGCATTTCTAGCATGAAACGTTGCGAGCATACGCAAATAATTTAGCGGGATATGGAACGACGAATTTCAACTCTCCACTGATCCGAGTTTAAGTGGGAAATAAAGCGATATGATAATGCCCTGATATACAAAATATTGCGGGAATGCAGCAACTGGCGTAGAAAAATCGTTTCTTTTTAATAATTCAGAGTTTCATTACAAACATTATATAAATTAATTACGAAATTAGCATAGTATATTCTTTATAGCTGATATTGTGTTTCTGTGTGTCCCAATTATTACTTTACATAATTAAATAATAACGTTATTGATTCAGCCTAATTAAATGAATATTTTCTTATAAAATTTGTAATTAAAAAGCATAGAAAATGGTATTTGAGAGTAGCAATCAAACTTTTAGAAATCCATGCGATTTTGAAGGAAATCTGACAGAATTACAAAACATTTCGTTGAACGAGACTTAACGAGACTTATGTCGCCTGTAGTTTTCCTGTAACATAAGTTTCCTTGTCTCTATCATTATCTGCATACCGCAAACCAAGGTTAATAACAGCCACGTTGCCGATATTTGGCGCACGTTTCCTTCATACGCTACGCCGCGCCGGTAGTTTCGACGATCCGCGTCTTACAGAGCGTAAGAAACGCGCTGAGAATGACGTAATCCCGATTGCATAATGCCACGGCAAACGTTCGCGCGTAGTACCAACTATTCGTGTCAACTATTATTCTTCGAACGACCCTCGGCGTAGCGTCGTTGTCCGCGTTGCACATTCGCACATCCTTGGAACTGGAATTTATGGGACGAGGTCGCGCATAGGTGCCCGTCGTAGCATTTAGGATTTTGTTCGACGTCGCGTCCACAACTTTGCGAAACGGTATAGGCGACATTAATGGCGAGCGGAGCGTATTGACGACACTCGCGTCTCTCGCGTTGCCGGAAGTGACGGCGATTATTATTATTAACGAGAAGATCTCTCAACGAGAAGATCCTTAATCTCGTAATCCTATCGCGCGCGCCAGATGACTCCGGTAAGTCGTGCTGAAAATTTACGCTACGGATTCCGACAAACGCGGAGCGACAACCGACGACGACGGCGTCCCTAAGCTCTTGGAACGTTTCCCGAAACTTCTCGCGATCGGAAGGCTCGTCTGTTCGATAATCCACGAAAGAGACATCGAAGATATATTACTGAATCGGGAGTTACACACGCGATCACTTGTCAGTCACGTTTCTATAGAAATACTATGTCGCGTAGTCACATCACAACACGAACGAGATTGTATATATTTACGCTTGATAATTCTCGTTTACGCTTCGATGCTTGAAACGCTCCGCATGTTTCCGGTTAATATTTGCGGCGATTGTATTATTTTAATGGTGTTTGTAAAAAAAATTATTATTTACATTACATGTTGTCGTTTGAAGGAGATTGAAGAGTGTTCTTGGGAACGTACATCTTGTATTTTTCCGCGAAGCGCAATAGAGATTGCTGACACGCGGAAGTCGGTATTGTAGGAGCGACCCTTGTGTTTACGAATTTAGGCACTATAACTTTGACAAAGCCGCCGATTTAGGGAACCCTCTTCTTCACTCGATATAATGGGGGACGATGGACTATAAGAATCTTTCTGAACGTGCGTGTAAATATTCCCACGAGCGGGGATCATGGCGAAATTAAGGAAGCCTACGATACACATTCCTCAAGATGATGCATGAGACGGATTATAACCGATAAATCCTAACATGACAATTTTTACGCGTTACTGGCGAAAAATTTTTCGCCGTACGAGCAATTCATATTGTATATGATCGTCATTGATCTTCTACAACTATTCTCTCTTTTGATTGCATTCATCTTATTAGTTTTATTTGCTATTTTTTCCGAAATATTAAATGCTTTATGAACAATAAATATTATACGCTCATCAAATTAATAATATTATTTGTTAGATACATATTTCGTATAAATAAAATTTTGATAAAATCTATAAATTGCTACCTATTAAATCAATATTTAACTA